GGCCGCATCCCTGAGGGGAGAGAGGTTGTGCTACACTTGCGGGTTCAAAATTGGGAATGATTTCCCTAATTGCCAAAGCTTTTGCTTTTGAGACGCGCGGGAATGGGGAGAGGGTGCTGGCCGGGTGCTGGGCAGCTCTGACAGGTGGTGGCATCGTGTGGGTATCCTGCAGCGGCTGATAAGGGTGATAAATAGTCACCTTTGGGTAGCCACACAGAGCAAACACTGATCAGGACACACGGGAACGAGTGTGTCTCCTTAGCTTGCAGGGCTGTGCCTTGGGTTCGAAGGCCCCAGTACCTGCCAGTGTCTGTTCCTGACTGTGAGGCTCACATTTCTCTGTTTCTGTTGCCAAAAGGCTCTCTAGGTGTGGTATGGCAACCAGAGCATGATCATGGCAGCTGAGGCTTGCAGCCCCTCTGAAGGGGCCCTTCTGCCTTCATCAGCAGGCTTAGTCTTTCCTCACTTGAATGGCTCTGATAGGCTAAGTAGATCCTGCCCCTGGGGCGGCAAAGGCAGGAAAAGTCGTCTCTCTGGACTCTGTCGGCTTAGAGCATCTCTGCCTGGTGAGTATTGTCAGACTGAGTTCCGTGAAGGTTTCAGGTTCAGATCTTCTTCCCACCCTCAACCACGGTGAGAGGTGACAGCAGTCAGTACCTGCTGGGATGCACAGGTGTCATCAGGTTGGGTGGGAGTGTGGATCTGCCTGAGGGTAGGAAACTTCTACAGAGAGACCTGGACCAACTGGATAAATGGACTGATTATCCAGTTTATCCAACCTAATGTATGAGGTTCAGTAAGGCAAAGTGCTGGTTCTCATGCAGCTCCAGGCTGGGGAGAAGTGTCTCGTGTGTCGTTGGTCACAAAGGACCTTGGCAGTGCTGGGAGCCAGCAGTGTGCACAGGTGGCCAAGGAGGCATAGTGCAGCTTAAAGCCTCAGTGTGGACACAGGTATTTCGGTGTCACATCTTGTGAGCAGTTAATTAACTGGCTTCCAACTAATGCAGCTTTTAATGAGGGCTTCAGCACTTACTGTAATTGTATTTAATTACAGTTTCACCTGAGAGCTTTCAAAACTTGTTAAAATCTGTTAAGTGAAAAATAAAACTAGTCTCACTGAGACTTATGGATTTTGGCTATTGTTTTTTTATCCTGTGGACTGAGCTTACATGTTCCAGCAGCTCTGGTTCAAAAAGATACATTTATTAGAACTGTTTCTGTTTTCTTTAGTTTCACTGATTCTATTTTCTTGTAGCTTCTTTAAAAATCTAGCAGCATGTGTTTTGGGATCACTTGACAGCTGCTTCAGCTGACAGTCCATTGTTTTTATTCATGCCTCTAATACTCCTGCAGCAGACTGGTAAAGCTACATTGCTGACCTTTATCTTTCCACAGGGGAGAAATGGAGCTCCTACTGTTTGTCCTCACTGGCAGCTCGTAACATTTGTACCAGCAAAACTGGTAACTCATGGGATTCTGCCCCTCTCTCTGCTTCCACTGGGAGTTCTGCTTCTTGCTCATTTCAGCATGCCCTTGCTGCGGAGGAATCCAGCCAGCAGGGCCCAGCTGCTGCACGACACCCAAACAAAGCCATCTTCACTGTGGATGCCAACACCACAGAGGTATCTGTGGGGGTACCTGCTGGCACTGAGCTCACCCCGGCTGGTACAGGTTGTGCCACATCAGACAGGCTAAAACGGCTCTTATTCTTTTGTGTGTCTGCAGGTAATCAGTGTCGTGAAGGCATTTTATAGTCTTCTCCAGCTCAGTAGTCTTCTAAAGACTGATAATGAGCTTATTTTCATTGCAGGTTGTAGTTAGCAAAATACACAAGACAATAGCAGAAACGTGGACATCTTGAGTCTTTTTTTCAAGCAGCCCAGAGAGGTTATGGACACCCATCCCTGGGAGTGCTCCAGGCCAGGTTGGATGGGGCTTGGAGCAGCATGGGCTAGTGGAAGGTGTCCCTGCCCCTGGCAGGGGGTGGAATTGAATTAAGGTCTCTTCTAACCCAAACCATTCTATGATTCTATAAGAATGTAGCTGTGAAGTGGCATGAGGGAAGAAAGGAAAAGGAGAATGTGCTTCAGGTCTTCCTTGTGTTAAGTATCAACCCTGGGATGTGTTTGTGGTGACACAAGGTCTCTGGCTGTCCCAGTAAATATGCCTTTTGTGTTGGGAGGGAAAGAATTTCTCTGTTTCTGTCTTGAGAGAAATCTAGGACTGAAAACCTTGAAGAGCTGTGCCATTTTTCAGCTTGAACTGACCATTTGGGTTTACCCATTTTACAGGTGTTTAAACCTGGCTTGCTCAGGCTCAAATGTGCTGCACATCTTCGGGTCTGGGGACAATTTTATGGCTTGCCTGGACTTTGAAAATACAACTTCATAGCTTTGCCTCCATGGGTGTAATTATTTACCATTAAAAGAAAGCAGGAAACCTAAAAGGCAAACAATGTCTCAAAGCCTCCAGCCAAGATGTGGGCAAGGGATGCTCTAGCGTAAGGAGCTTTAGTGAACTCAGAATTCTAGAGAACTGCTTTGTTTCCAGCAAGAGGATGTTGTAAGACACTAAAGCAACAGCATGAGGAGATGATGACCTATTAACAAGACTTACAGCTGTTACTCTTTGTTTTGATTTGGTTTTTTTTCTGGTGTTCTAGATCCTAGTGGCTAATGACCAAGCCTGCAAGCTGCTTGGGTGCAGTAGTCAGGAGCTCGTTGGGCAGAAGCTGTCCCAGCTGATATCCAAATCCAGCCAAGAGGTGTGGGAAGCTGTGAGTGAGGAGCACCTAGGAACTGATGAATGTTCGTCACTGGTTTCAGGAGCTGTGGTATGTGAAATGTCCAAGGACATATTCCCCACCATGCAGAGTGGTTTAGCAGTCTTTGGTTTCGGATTAGCTGTTTTTACATTTTCAATACAATTTCCTGATGTGTTTAGCTTGATGGGAACCCAGCAGTTATGTGGTTTGTGGGACTGTTTGGTTTGGAAGTTTGCAGATGTGGAGATTCACAGGGCAAGGAGGGTTTGGGAGCCACCCATGGGATCCTGCAGCTGCAGACACGTAGAGTCACCACGACTGGACCAAATCAGAACTCAGAGGGCATTGGATTTTAAAAACCCTAACTCAATAAAATTGCTTAACATGGAAAAGGTCTGTCATGGAAAAGTTCCCAATTGTCTGGGCCTTACAAATGTATTTTAAATGGTCTCAAATCACATTGTGCATGTTGTAAAGTTACAAGGCAGTGAAATACTGTGAAATGTCTGTGCCGGAACACCACAGCCAGTGCAAAAGAGTGGAACTGATAGTTTGCCTGTAATGGGGTTGTTTAGAAGAGATCTGCATGAGAAATGTCTCCAAATCACTCTCTGTTGCTGCTGTTGTGATCTGTCACTAGAAAATCCTTGGGAAACGAGCTCATGTTCTTCCTGGGGTGTTATTTCTGTACTGAAATTGTCAGCAGCTCAGAGCTTCATCTTCCTGAATCCTTGGCTGGATATGGGAGAACACTGAATCCGAGCTGGATTCAGTGAAACCAAAGATGAAAATTAAATGTTTGGTGAAGGCACTAATTCTCAGCCATTCCAAGTGCTTTGCAGGAGTCACTGTAATTCATAAACCCATTCTGTCCAGATCACATCAAAGTGATTAAAGGCTCGATATGAACTCTGCAGGCTGTGAGATAAATGAGCAATTCTGATTGGAAAAGAGTCTCTTCCCATGAGGAATTAAAGCTCTGGTTTTGCAGCTGAAAGTAAGAGCTGTGTTACCAACGTGGAGTGTTCATTAGCACTGCGGACATCCCTTCAGCAAGGCTGTGTGAGGTGCTAGATGGCATGTTTACTGTGCTGAAGGAAACCCTTTAGTCTTCCATAGGTGAGGAGAGAGTATACAAAAGTAACAACATTTTGTGTATGATTTGTTTTCAAACCTTTTCAACTCTATATTGAAACTATGTTTCTTCCCATAAAATAATAGTAGGTAGTCAAGAAACAATGTTTTTCTAACAAGGATGGAGAGACTTCCTAGCAAACTTCCAGGAGCTGAAAGGGCTCCAGGGAAGCTGCAGAGGGACTGTTAGGAGCTGCAGGGACAGGACAAGGAGCAAGGGGGATAAATTGAAAGAGGGAAATTTAGGCAGAAGTTTTCCCTGTGAGGGTGGTGAGACACTGGCCCAGGTTGCCCGGGGAGGCAGTGGCTGCCCCAACCCTGGCAGTGTTCACAGCCAGGTTGGATGAGCAACCTGCTCTGGTGGGAGGTGTCCCTGCCCAGGGCAAGGGTTGGGGCTGGGTGATCTCTAAGCTCCATTCCAGCCCCTTAACATACTGTGATGTCTTGGCTCAGTATCTTACTCTTGTTTGAAACTCTTGCTGAGTAACCACAGCCTTAGTAAGCGATGTCTCATCTCTCTGTGCTGTGGGAAGGTGGATGTCACAGGTCGCCTCAGTGAGAAGATCCCTGTCTCGGTCTGGCTGAGGCAGATAAGAAGTAAGGACGCCCAGCGCTGTGTGGTTGTGCTGGAACCAGTGGAAAGACTTTCAGCTTCTGTTTGCTTCGGGGTTGATGTGAGTGTTTTCCTAACAATCAAATGAGATTGCTGTTTGTGATGGTTCAGGTGTGAGCTGAACATGTCTAACAGCAGTGCCTGAAACCAGGATTGTGCACACAGGATGTGTGTGTGTCTCCCATGCAGCTCACCTTGGCGTGTTTGACAACCCACATTGGCATACACTGTCTCCTCTGAGAAATCTTGGGCTTGAACAGCGTGGGTTTGGCAGGGGGTTGTTTTTTGTGGCAAAGTTGTCCTTGAGAAGGGATCAGCTGCCTTGTGTGAGGAGTGCTGGAGTCCCTTGCCTCTGTCTCAAGCAAGGGACAGGCTCTCTGCACAGAAATGTTGGAGGAGTATTGTGTTATGCTGTGTCTGCTTTTACTGAGTTGTGTCCACCAAAGGACTGCAGAATGAAATTTCCTGCCATTGCTCAGATATTTGCAGAAACCATTGTCAAAGGTTTGGGCAGACTGTGGCTGCTATGCTAAAATTCCAACAGTCCTGTAAATTTTCTTCCCAAGGGAGAGATTACATCATGTGACCTCCTTTTTGCCCATCTCCATGGCTACACAACATTGGAAGAAGTAGTTGGGCTCCACATAAAGGACCTGATTCCTTCTGTGCAGATTCCTCCTCTAGGCAAAAAAATCCCAAAGGTACAGTACAAGCACCAACCTTATTCTTCTGGAGCCATCCCATTTGCAACGCAGGTGCACACTGTTTTCCCTCCTTACATAACAGAACAAAGCTTTTTTCAGAGAGAAACCTAATTCCCCTGGGAAAAACAGTGTGCTGCTTTTTTGTGGAGCTGCTGTCTGAAGAGCTCCCAACTAGGAATGAGAGCAAGCCCTTACCCGCTGAAGTAAACCCAAAACATTTGGTTAGTTGGAGGTTTTCTGCTGGAGTTGTGTTTGTTTGTGTTTTGCTTTACTGTAGAACCTCAGGATCCAACCAGCCGTAGGCCTGTCCAGAGAGGGTACCATGTTTCCTCTCAGTTTAAAGCTGCAGGTCAGCCTGCTGGAGGGAGGCCCAGTGGCAGTGCAGAAGGATGGAGTCCTGCAGACAGAAGAAGGCTCTCTCCCAGGCTATCACTATTCTGCTGCAGTGGTGGCTTATTCTGTCATCAGTGGTCTTATTACTGTCCAGTCAGATGGAATCATCTGTGGCATCAAGGATAGTTTTGCTTTAATGCTCTTTGGCTATGAGAAGAAAGAACTGGTGGGAAAGGTAAGATAAGATGGTTAATCCCTCCCAAAAGTCTGCTCTGTCTGGCAGCATATCCACTGGGGTTGTGAAGCTGTGTTTTGCACTCCTTGCTGTCACAAAACCTCTGTGTTCCACATGTTCAGTGAGGGAGGTGTGGGGTGATATGCAAATTCCCATGCTGTGACTGCTAAGACTTGGAGTGCTGAGGAGCTAGTATGGATTTCAAGCAGCCCACAGCAAGCTGCACACTCCTGTGTTCTCTGTCAGTCCTGTGGATCACTGCTGCCTGGCTGTGAGAATCAGCTTCACAAACATGGACTGTGAGCATTCGCCCCCAGTCTGAGAGCTGGCTGAGCTTTGTAAGGTTTCATTCTTTGTTCTAGAACATTACATTCCTGATCCCTGGTTTCTATAACAACATGGAGAGAAGCAGTGACTGTTCTCTGCCTCCTCTGGATGACTCCGTGGGGACAGAGGGTGAGTGCCCCTGAAGGTGTTGTGCCTGCTGTGCAGCTGGCTCTGGCTGCTGTATCAAAGGGGAAATGGGCAGAGACAAGAGGGTCACCTAGAAACATGTAACAGTCTTCATAACAGCAATATCCCCCTGCAGTTTTGAAATTGGGTTCCACTGTAACCTCAGGTAAAGAGAATTGTTCACCTAAAATTGTGCTTCTCGCTTTGCTGCCAAGTTGATGAAACTGGATATCCAAGCTGGAAGTTGCTCTGCTAACAGAGAATGCTTTGTACTTAGCAAGCTCTTCCCCTCCCTCCATGCTAGGGCCGCTCAGTATCCCAAGATGGTTTTTGTGACTGTGTTGCAGCAGAGCTGTAGATACTTGGGATTAATATTTTAAGGGGAAAATCTGTGCTGCTGGCTAATACTTAGTGTGTGCTGCTGTGGTGTTTCAGTTAGGGAGCATCACATATTTCCCTGTTGCAGCTCGCTGCATTTATGAAAAATTTATCAGCATTTTATTTCTCTGAACACAACAGGAACAAACACACCAGGGAATCCTTGTGTTTCCAAATCTGCCTGCCCAGCCAGCTCTGCCCAGGACAGAGAACACAAGCAAGTGAATGCTTTCAGCCACATCACAAGAGAGCTCTTATGATGATTTTGGCTCCTTGTTTGGGTTTTTTTTTTCCCCGTTTTCTTTTTCTCTTTGCTCAGAAATGCACATCTGCATTGAAACCAGTGCACACCACTGGAGCAAAGAGGAGTTAGTAGGCAGTGTACAATTTCTGGGGTAGTTCTCTGACGAAGTACTGCCCCTAGCCCAGCAGTAATTCAGTTCTTCAGGGAGGAAGCATTGTTGGCACTCGACTTTACTAAGGGAAGGATTGTTCTAGATTCAGATCTAGATTTCTTCGTTCGTTACTTTCTTCTGCAGCAGCTGCATCTTCCAAACTCATGTCTTCTCTTCTGATCTGTTGTCACTGGGGAAGGAAAGAACTTTGTGTCCTGTTCTTTCACACAGGTTTAGACTGCACTTTTTTTGTCTTCTAGCTGCAGTGAGTGGTATAAATCTAGTCCAAACCTTTTCATTTTATGTGTTTGGAATGGGGAGTTATGTGTGGGTTGGGCTTTTTTTTTTCTGCTGCTGCTGCTGTTTGTGTGGTCATTTTAATTCCGTTCTCTATACAGTTATTGGTCTTTTTTTAGGTCTCTGAACTCCAGTTCAAGTAGCTAACCCATGAGACCAATACCTGTCCAGGAGCTTGGACAGAAAAGCGAATTTTGGCAGCCCTAGAACATGTAGATCCTGCATGTGGTCATTTCTCAAGCCCAAGTAGAGTGGAATGCTCATGTTTAGACTGCTTTGCCTTAATCAAGCCTTGTAAACTCAGCTCCTTACGGAAAAGACAGGCCAAGGCATTTCCAAGTTTATTTTTAACCACTGTAGTCTCTGAAGCCTAAATATAAAAGGTTGGTGTGGTTTTGTTTCCTGTTTGGTACAGGCAGCAGCTTCTTGGCTGCATCTTTAGCACACCTTCTGTCAAGAGACGAAGAGCAGGAATTGGAAGTAAGACACAAAGATGACAAAGTAACACATGACGAGAATAAACAAAGGAATGGGAGCAGTTTCTTTTCTCCTCCCTCACCTCCTGAAGTGACATCCACCCCCTCTGGCAGGTAGGCATTTCATGGGCTCCATATGCCCTTGGGAAAACGAAGAGCTGTGGTGGCAATCCCCAGCCAAAGCTGTTTGTTCACCATGTGCATTGAGTTGGTTTGTGGTGGTAAGTGATCTCTATTTTGAAATTCAGCTAGAGAAGGAAGCTGTCCACAGGGAGAGTGTCCTTCGAGTGTCCCTGCTCTTCTTTGGTCAGTTTGTCAGGATTTTGGATGCTTACGCCAACAGCTTTCTGCCTTTCTCTTGTTAACTTCAGAACAGGACAATTGGCTTTACATAGTCACCACAGCAGCAGCAGAGTGGGTGGTACAGAGCAGGACAGTTCTCTCATTCCTTTGCCATCATGGTGCTGCTGACAGCTCTGACTCTTGCAGCAAGGACATCTGTGCCACCAACAGGCTGTCAGCCCCCCAGAGAGCCCTGCCCTGGCTCTTGGCCTGGCACAACCAGAGCAGTGGAGCACTGTAGAAGAGTGGGAACTGCAGGTTCAAACAGTTCTCAAAAGGTGCTCTCTGCCCACGTCATCTGACTCAGAACAGCTGGATTTGGGTCAGGACACAGAGATTCCAGTCAGAAGCAGTGACAGTGTACCATCTCCTGCAGTAACTGTGGCCTGTTTGTAGTTGTCACAGTTGCAAAGTAGCTGCAGGGTTACTGTTGTTGCCTGTTTGTTCCAGGCTAGAAGACAATCTTAGTGCCTCATCCTGTGGCCCAGTGGCACTGCCTTCTGGTGTTACCTGTGACTCACCTGGAACACCCACAGTGGATGAGCCGTGGCCTGGGACAGCACCTGACTGCAGGCAAGACTTTCAGAGTCACGTAGTTACAGGTCAGTTCTCAAAACCAAACTCGATGTGTGAGGCAGAGCATTCCAGCCTTGAGCACGTTATTGTTGAAAAGTGTCTGCTAAACGATGCTCCATCCTTCTTTGCACACGGAAGAAATGTTATCTGTGATGTTTTCTCAGGAAGTGAAACGGGTCACAGTGCTCCTGCACCGGTACTTGCCACAGCCTCTGACGATGTTGAAGGACCAGACACTGAACTGAACTGTATTTGCTCTGGCCTTGAGGTGCTGGGTCTGGATACTGGTGTCAAGGGGAGCTCAGACACTTCTCCAGGTGTAAATGCAGCTCTTGTAGGAGCATGCTCCTCTGACACGAGGGACTCCAGATTGCTCACTCGGACTAATGGCGCCTCTTCCACCAGGCAGGGAGAGCAGCAGCTGAGTGGTGTTGCCACAGAAGCTGGTTCAGTCTCCCAAAGGCATTTACAGAACTCTGAAGAGTCCTCCAGAGCATTTCTTGAGCAGCCTGAAGCTCTTGCAGAGCCTCTGGAGGATAGTGCCAACAGAAAGTCCCTGAAAAGCAGAGGTAGTCCTGAAGAACATTGTCACTTGAACAGGCAGCAAAATAGAGAGATGAAAGTAACATCAACGCCAGTGAATGAAGAAGGAAGGCTGAATCCAGCGGCTCCTTTAGCCTGGGAGATTCTGGAAGGCAGCTACAGGGGGAATTGCTGTCACAGAGATGGTTCACAATTCAGTAAGTGAAACCTTCTCCCCTTCCCAAATCTCTTACTGGGGTGCTGGCTTTCACCCACATTTTTGCAGAAGGCTCACAGCTCTGGTTGGAAGCTCACAGTGGAGAGGAAGGAAAGAGCATCTAGAAGAAAAAATGGTATTTAAGCCTACTCAGAGGGTATTAGAAAAGCAGATAGGATAAAATATAAAGTTACTAAGAAATTAATCCCAACTGAAGAGTCAGAAACATTCTTAAAGCACAATTAAAAAGTTTGAACCTGATAAATTTTTCTGAACAGAAAATACAAACTCGGTTGTGAAGCTTATATTTAAATTGTGTGATGGAATTTGTTTTGCACTGCTTCAGCTGCATTCAGTGACTTGCTGTGTAAAATCCCCATTTTTATGTAGTTTAGAACAGCAGTGTGAAAGGAACAGTCACAGTTGGGCTCTGAGCAAAGTTTCTGCTGGAGGTAGCTGAGAGGTACCTCAGGACAGCTGTGCTGGTGTCAGCCTCTCTGGGGATTCCTTACTGAGCAGTTATTCCCCAGGTCATTGGTGGAGTCACTCACTTGTCTAAGAGCTCAGCATTTGGGCCTAAAATGTCTCATTCAGCGTTAAAGTCATGTTCTACCATTTTGATTTCCTCACCTGTTCCTACAGGTATCCTCTTTGAGGTGAAATGTGCAGAACTGCAGGACCACAGCCTGCTTTTCTGTGTCTGGGTGGTGAAAGACCTTTCACAGAGCCAGAAGGAAGCTGTGGCAAAGACTCAGCTCTCGCTCTCCAGTCCAGCAAGCTCTGCCCTGTCTGCTGCTGACCTTTCTACAACCAGTCTTGGAGAAGTAAGCAATGCTGCCTTGAACACTGAGCATTTCTCTCCTTGTTTGACTGTTAAGCCGAAGCTAAAGTCAAAAAGGTTTTCAGAGCAATGCCATGAGGTGTTGGGGTGGGTATTGCTGTTTGTTTCCCTGCTTTTCCCTCAAGAAAGTGTTTCAGGTTGCTATTTCCTAACATTTCTGGCCTGTGGCTTAGTGTATTTACCTTTCCAGTCTGAACAGTGCAGTTCCAAACTGCAGGAGCCTCCACGGAGCTGCTGGGCTTGAAATGTGCTGCAGATTAGACCTGCAGTTTCCTGCCTCGCCTCAGTCATCTGGAAGGGAAAGTAGATCTTTAGGTGAAAACTTGGCTATTGGTAACATTTGCTCTTTGGAGTATTTTTATGAGACCTTTGAGAGCTGAGTAATAAGGTGTATCTTGTTTTCCTTTCAGAAAATCATCTTCCATGCACATGTGTGTTGACATGTAGGCAGGTGTGATCATGGATCACAGACACTCCCAGGAGATCTGTTGTGTTTCCTTCCTCTCAGGATGCAATACTGTCTATGCCATAAGGCTGTTCTGTTACTGTGCATTTTGGACACCGTCTCTGGTGGAGAAACCTAGGAACTGCTGGCACAAACAGCCCCAGCCCCTCCTGGAACACAGGCCCTGGCTGTGGTCAATGTGCTGTGCAGTGTTGCAGGCCTTGGTAGGAAGGGGTGAAAATTTAGGGGGTTCTGCCCTGAACGTTTTTGGTCTGTGTGTCTGCTAAGAGTCTAATCTGCAGAACTAGAAAAGGATGTTACCAGAAAGCCTGGAGAACACTGGTAGTTAGTATCTTCTATGTACTGACTCTTTTAGGTTACAGAGACAAATAGAAATCGCTACAGACACAGTTAGGCCTGAAAGGAACACCTCTGTCCTTGTGTCCATCCAGAATGCACTTGCCTGAAGAAATTGCAGCATTGAAAGTAACTTACTTCTTATTCAGCAACTAAAATTGCCATTCAGTGAGAGACCACAATGAATTCATTTCCTACCTGCCCAGAGGGCTTTGTGTGAGCATCTAAGCGATGTATGCTTCTGTTTTCCTTCCTGAGCTGAGCTGATGGCTCCATCAACATGCAGTTCTCTGTCAGAACCAAAGATCTCTTAGCTGTTCCTGCAGATGTGTACATCCTTTTCAGTACCTATTCATCCTATAAATGTGATTCTGTGACTTGCTCACCTGTTTTTTGCTGTTTCTGTTTTATCTGTATGTAGGCCATCAGATCAACTTCACTCTTTGAGAATTCCCGGCAAGCTGAAGAGCTTGAGGGACTAAGAGCATGTGAGGGAGAATATGGAGGAAATTACAGCACCCTCAGCCTCATTGGCAAAGGCTCTTTTGGCTTTGTCTGGATTGCCAGGGGCAAGAAAGATCACCAGGAGGTGAAGTACTTCTTTTAGCTCTGTTGCAATAGTTATTAGGATGAAAACTGGAAGGTTAGAGCATTCATACTCTGTCAGCCCTGCACTGCTAACAGTTGCTGTTTGGTAGTTTGGGGTTTTGCTCTGTTTAAACAGAAATCTGGAAAAACAAACCTCATGGAAACAGGAGAGCAAAGTATTTGTGTTGCTGCAGTGGGTGAGTGTTAGGCGAGACAACAGGCACAGAAGGAGCTCATGAACTAACGAATGTAGCTAATTGAACCTGTTGAAAGAAGCAGGCATTAAGGTTGGCAGAATTGCAGGGTTTAGTCCTCTCTTACTAAAGAGAATGGCAAACCTCAAAGTCACTACGGTGCTGTGACTCGGGAACCTGGGCTAGACATGTTGGGGTTCTGGGACCTCCTCTTTATCAGCAGGAGCATTTTGGGTGCTAAGAGGTAAACCCTGGTGTTTCTCTGCATGGATGTTAAGTGCTCACTTCCCTGCCCTTCACACTCGCAGGCCATGCTCAGTGCTCTTGTCTGTGTAGGTTGTCGTGAAGTTCATCTGGAAGGAGAGGGTGCTGGAGGACTGCTGGGTGGATGATCCTGATCTGGGGAGGGTCACTCAAGAAATTGCAATCCTGCTGAGGCTGCAGCACCCAAGTATCATTAAGGTACAGTGACTCGGAGTGAGTGTGGTTTGCATCAGGTGGTTCCTTTCAGTTCTCAGCATCTGGTGTTCCTCTTCAGGAGGGAACTGGCCTGCACTGGATCTGCCTTCTCAGGAAGGAAAGGAACCTATCCATCCTGTTTTGTTTTGGAGGAGGTGTCACAGCAGACTGCTGCTTGCTTCTACACTTTTACCCCAAACTGACCTGAAGATGTGACTCTGAGCAAAGCCTGTACCCTACTGAAAATAAGCATATCTTAGAAGTGTGATGTCACATCTGAATTTGCACTAGCTCAGTAAATGGTCTGGATGCATATCTTGATTCCTCCTCTTTGTTTTGGTTTTGGGGTTGGTTATTTTCCTCCAGAAAGAGAATTCCTTTGAGGTTTAATTCTGCCCTCGGTTTTAATTCTGTTCTCTTTCCAAGAAACATTTGTGCTCAGTGAAATGAGGCATAGAGATTACTTTGGTTAGATCTCCAAGACGAGAGCAGTGTATGTTAAAAATAAAAGCCTGTTTGAGGTTCATCCTCATGATTAAACTAGCCTGTTATTTATAGGTGCTGGAAGTATTTGAAAATGAGCACTTCTTCCAGCTGGTGATGGAGAAGCATGGGTCTGGTCTGGATCTCTTCACATTCATTGATAACCAGCCCAACCTGGACGAGCCGTTAGCGAGTTATATATTCAGACAGGTGAGAGCACAACTGCTGTACACAGGTAAGGTTTGCTTAATATGAGAACCAGGACCCTGTTTCACCCAATCCAATAGCTGAATTGGAGTCATGCTCAACAGCTGCAGAACCTTTGCTTGCTGTTCTGTAGGGCTGATTGAAATGCTGCTGCAGGAGCCTTGTTAAGGACTACTGAGAAATCTGTCACCAAGAAAGGTTTGCAGTGCCTTACTGTGTGTGAGGGTCTCCTGTGGGGCAGCCCCTGCCACCAGGGCACCAGTCACGAGGCAGTCACATCTCAGAGTGGGGAGGGCAGTACACAGAGGCTGCTCTGAGCCTCCTGAAAAGCCATGCCTTTGCTCAGGTCAGTGTTTAGTTTAGATTGGTTATGGGGGTAAAGGGCTCTGCTCTTTAAATCGAGAAATTCCCTTGGATTTTAACGTGGCACAACACCAAATCGTTTCGTGTGAGTCAGGAGCTTGTCTGAGAGCTGAACTGCCCTTTGTTCAGTGAGTTAACCACAGCAGCTGTCCCCAGGTAATTCCCCCTGGTGAGGTCTGGAGTACATTCCTTGCTCTAGGGCATGCAGGAATTGCTTTGCATGTGGCAACCCTCACACACCTCTGCTGTGCCCACCCTCCCCTCACCTGGGGCACTGATGGAAGAGGAAAGCCAAAGAGATGTTCCTCTAGGTTGGTGATGGGTCAGACCTGGAGTTCTCAGGGCTGCCTGGGTCCCTCAGACCTGCACAGCATTTCAGTGCAGAGGCATCCTTGCATTATAAATAGAACCTTTCTCCCTCAGCCATCTGCTTTTCCTGTCAGATGCACTGTGGTAGGGATCATGATTGTCTCCAAGGTGATATCATTCTCGTGCTACCCTTAATTCTGCACTAAAGCATGAATCGTGCAGGCACAAGAATGGCATTTAGGAGTGACTCTTATACCAAACTTTACTCCTGAATGCTGTGTCATCCTGCAGTGTGGGAGGCACGCAGCAATATCCTTCTGGAGAAACCAAAGGACCCTCCAAAGAAAGCTGGGATAAAAATAGAGTAGCCTGCAGGATTGTACCAGTGAGCTCTGATGCTTCTCACCAAAAAAACCATCACATCGTGACTGGAGCATCTCCCCCTCCTGCGTGTTTGTGAGAGAAGAGCAAGCAAATGCTTTCCTAAGTGTCTCTCCCAAGAGTGCTACAGCACCCACTGCAGCAGTGCTGACAGGCAGGCCTGAGGTCACTGCCACTTACCAAAATGAGGAGGTATAACTTGTTCAGGTAGTGTCAAAAGCCACAGCATGACCCTCGGAGCACTGTGATGCCACACCAATTATCCAGGACACTTCTGTGTAGTAACACCTAGTTCTTTCCTCCTCTTGCAGCTTGTATCAGCTGTGGGGTATCTCCACTGCAAGAACATCCTTCACAGAGATATTAAGGATGAAAACATTGTCATTGCTGAAGATTTCACCATTAAATTAGTGGACTTTGGTTCGGCTGCCTACCTGGAACCTGGGAAACTGTTTTATACCTTCTGTGGGACCATTGAGTACTGCTCACCAGAAGTGCTGTCTGGCAAACCGTATGTCACCCTGTGAAAAGTCATTTTTGTGCCATCACACCACCAAACTCGTGTGAGCAGGGCTGGAATGGAGAAGCCAAGCTGCTGTGCCATTAGAGCTCTGCTGGCACATCTCACTACAGAAAACTGCAGTGAGATTTAGGGCACTGCAGTGACACAAATCACTTTTGAAGGTTTGAGTGCCTGCAAAGTAGGGCACTGTGGTGACAGAAATTAGTTGCAAAAGGTTGAATATGTGCAAAGCTTTTTCTGAGACTGTGGACAGGCTTTCCCCACCAAAAGCTGCTCTTTATGAGAGGTGGTGTAAGGAAGTATTGCTGTTGACAACACCTGCTCCTTGCATGTCTGTGTTCTGTACTCTCCAACTCTCATCTGTTCTCTTCTTTCCTGTGGTGCTTCCCTGTATGAATTTGATCTTTCTTCACCTCCCCACTGATTTTTGTGCTCCTCAGGACTCAAGGACTCTTCCCTTGCAGCTTTTCTTGCTGCTGTTTTGGACGTACTGCCCAAACATTGGCTGTCTCTTCCCTCTCTCTCCCTCTCCGAGTGCTCTGTCCCTGGCAGCTGGAGATCTCTTTCCTGCTCCTGGAGGAAGCTTCCTCATCACAGGGTGGCACATTGTATGTGCCTGTACCTATCTTGCTCCCACTTCACAGCTGATGGCATGGGTCCTTCCGGCAGCTCCTCTTCATGGGGTGGGGGGAAGAAGCAGTGCGAGGAGAGGAAATTCCCACTGGGAATAAGAAGGAATGTGAAGCAGCTCTGCTTTGGGAGTTTCACTGTTCCTGCATGAGGGAACTGTCCTGTTTCCTCAGATGGAATTTGGATAGTTAATAGTTATTTCCACATAACTTCTGTTTCAACAGGGCTGGGAGAGTGTGTTTGCTCTCCCAGTTAAATATTTGCCTGAAGTTTTGGCTCATGGTGAAGAAGGTAAGGCATAAGTTCCTTTGTCACCAGCTGACGTGTGTGGAAGTCTGAGTGCATGTTCCACACAACAGCAGACACAGTTTGGCAGTTCTGTGGTTGGTTTTGTTTCCTGGAGAAGGATTATGCAGACTTCTCAAACATATGGAACTTTCTTAAATTCTCAAAGACTTCCTGTGTTGAAATAGAACCTGGAAACAAGGGCTGTCAACCCCCTTTTTCTTTCTACTTTCTTTTGCAGACAGGTATGTGCTTGCACTCTGAGCTTAGGCAAGTTTATCTCTGCACAGGTACCATGGCCCTGAGCTGGAGATGTGGTCGCTTGGTGTCACCCTCTACACCCTGGTGCTTGGGGAAAATCCCTTCTGTGAGCTGGAAGAGGCCCTGGCTGCTGTCCTGAGTCCCCCTCGCCCCGTGTCACAAGGTGAGCTCTTCCCACCTGTCTCTCTACAGGAGCAGATCTCGTGGGAAAGTAAGCAGCGAGTTTTTGCCAGAAATAAAGGGGAAGAAGATGCTCCTCAGTGTACTCTGTGATAATCTGAAAAGCTGCTCAGTGCAGCAAAGTTTGGGGGATTTGTCGTTCTTTGAACATAAACCCTAGCTCACTGTCCCAGCCTGCCTGAGGTACAGCCTGGGCTGTCCCTCTGACTGCTGCCTCTTCCCAGGTCTCATGGAGCTCCTGGCTGGGCTTCTGCACCCTGTCCCGGAGCAGCGCATGACCCTGGCAGTGCTGGCAGAGGCTCCGTGGCTGCGGCAGCCCGTGGACCTGGCTGCCTACTCCTGGGAGGAAGTGTTCGTCTGCTGAGACCTTGTTCTGAAGACTTCTCCACCTCTGTCGTGGCTGAAGTCTGAGATGAACGGAGAGAATTCTGAGCTGTCAGTGGGACAGTTCCCATCAGGAGGTTGCTGCTGACACCCACGTGTGCTCAGTTAGATACTGCTCTTGCCCACAGTGTGTTTCAAAGCTGCGAGGCAAAGATTTTAACACCTTGTTTAAATTGTTTGTAATTTGGAATCTATTTTTATCGTCTGGTTTTAATTTTCATATGCAGTTTATATGCCTTTTTGAAAAGTGAATAAATGACTGATAACAGTTCTGGGTGTTGACTGGAGGATATGTGTGCAAAGGGGCCTCAAAGACACGGAATTGCATGATTTGGGGCAGGGGGTGGTGTCCTCCTGGAGTGGTTTTGTGTCATAGGCTTCTCCAGCTCCAGGAAAATAGTCCTTGCTTTTGATGACACAAAGATATTGGAAACAATTGACTTCATAAAGAGAATTTGATTGCAACATGGGTAACAGGAACATTCTGAGGTACATTTCAGCCAGGGTCCATTGCTAGGAAAGGCATCAGTTCTGCTGTCTGCTGCTGCCATCCTACAGCCGCTCTGTGAAGAATCAGAGAATTTTAGGGGCTGGAATGGAGCTTAGATATCACCCAGCCCCAACCCCTGCCCTGGGCAGGGACACCTCCCACCAGAGCAGGTTGCTCAAGGCTCATCCAACCTGGCTGTGAACACTGCCAGGGTTGGGGCAGCCACAGCCTCCCTGGGCAACCTGGGCCAGTGTCTCACCACCCTCACAGGGAAAACTTATGCCTAAGATCTAGCCTGAATTTCCCCTGTTTCCATTTCTCCCCATTGCTCCTTGTCCTGTCCCTGCAGCTCCTACCCAAGGGTCCCTCTGCAGCTTCCCTGGAGCCCCTTCAGCCCAACCTTCTCTTCTCCAGGCTGAACAGCCCCAGCTCCCTCAGCCTGTCCTCACAGGGGAGATGCTCCAGTGCTCTTCGCAACTTCGTGGCCTCCTCTGCACTTGCTCCAGCAGTTCCGTGTCCCTCTCACGCTGAGGGCACCCGACCTGTGTGCATTGTTCCAGGTGGGTCTCAGCACAGCAGAGCAGAGGGGGAGAATCACCTCCCCTGACCTGCTGGCCGGGGACTCGAAGCCGAGGAACTTTAACTAAAGATCAGCTCTGGACGCAGCTTTCGCCTTGCTGCTCGCCTCGCTCAGCCGGGCGGAGCGCGGCACTCCCAGCCC